GATCCAAAGCAATTAGGGTTGCATGTACACCATAAGAATGATGTTATGCTCAAAACCCAACAAAAAGGCCTTCACACCTCATTTGAACCTAAACCCAAAAAAACATGGGCCACTGTGCAGTTTTTTTTTTTTTTTTTTTTTTTTGAAAATGCATTTTTAATGTTTAAGACATGAAATTAAGTTTGAAAAAATCAATTTGTTTCAGCAACCGCAGACGTTAAAAACAAACAGTCTTCTTATTGCAGACTGTAGACATTTGGTCCACCTCTTCTGCCGTAGATGCTTGCAGATGTGGTCCGCAGACTCCAAACATTTTGGCTTTAGAAAAACAAACAACACCTAAATAATACTATAGTATATAGGGATGTTTAGTATTTGGATAAAACCGAATTGTCCAATTGGACTATTTGGTTCGGATATTCGGATTTTTGGATTGATTTTCGACAAAACCGAATTATTATTTTGGATTTTGGATTGATTATGATATATAAAATAAGAAACGAATAGTCCAAAAAAACTGAATAACAGTTTATTATTTATTTATTTTTAATATATATCTATAATTATTTATTAATTTTGTAATTTATTTTTTGAAATAGGTTCAAAAAGTTTCACCTAATAAAAAATATTAATATGCATTTTCTCTCAAAAGTTTTTATCTATAAAATATTAAAATATAATATACTTTCTTAATAGTTGTTTATAAATTTCAAATCGTAACTAAATAATTTGTTTTTGTTTCTTGTGTAAAATTCGGTAATATTATAATTATATGTCGTTTTAAAATGTTTTAATTTTTAAAAACCGAATTATAAAAATCGATCAAACCGAATTGTAATTGGATCAGATCGGATCAGATTTGAATTTAGTTTGAACTATTCAGATCCATGTTTTGAAAACGGAAATCAATTTGGATTTACTTGATTGGATTGGATCAAACCGATCCATCCAAACCAACACCGTATATACTTTTATGTGGGAATTTTTTTTCATATTTTTTTATTACTTTTTATTAAGCACCATGAAAAGTCTGTCGGGTTACAAAATCGGGTATAAACCGATACCCATATCAAACGGATGACCCGAGACGGCATAACATTCTTAAGAACCCTCTTCCGAGCGGTATCGATTGATTTTGCTTCCAGTTTTCTGATCAACGAATCGAAGCATATCAAACTGAAGCGAAAAAACTAAACAGTGGTAGGAGTAGAAGAGAAGGACATCATGAACTTGAATGCGAACTCGGTGGATTCACTGGTGGCTGAAATTCAAGGGTTTTCGGGAAGTTCTCAAGACGTAAATCACTTGAACAATCTTCTGAAGCAATCTGAGGACGTTATACGCTCTCAGGCTGCAACTTTTGCTTCATGTCTCACTCAACTTGACCCTTCCATTCATTCCCTTGGTTACCTCTACATTCTGTAAGTCCTAGTTTTTGTATTTCTCATTTGTTGCCTCATTCTTCGCGAAGAATAGAATGATTTTCTCTAGATTTAGGGGTTTGATCGTGTAGCGTTTGAACATCACTTACTTATCTACTTGCTACCAAGTAATAGTAATTGTTGATGTTACTCTTTTCTTTCTGTGATTGTTGTTTATTTTTGCCTTGTTGTTATGCATATACTGATTTTTGAACCGATTTGTCTGCTTGATGTTATGACAGGGAAGCATGTACAGCAGGTCCAATTCCAGAAGCACAAGCAAACGAACTTGTTCTTTCTGTTGTCAGATTCATTGATGTATGCAGTGTAGCACAGATCCGCTTGGTGCCTGACAAATGTATGTCTCTAACTCCATTATAGTAACAGTTTCTGCCTATATCATATTAACAAATTAACCACATTCGTGCAGTTATATCCATTTGTAAAAGATTGCATGAACAAGTTATGATTCTTGGTCCCCCTATGAGAGCAGTGGCTCCTCTCTTAACTGCTATCCGCAAGATTCAACCATCCTCGGAACACTTAACTCCTTTACACCCAGACTTTCTTCAAGTCTGTTTATTATCAAAGTGTTATAAAACTGGTTATAGCATCTTGGAGGATGATGTATACGAAGTTGATCAACCAAGGGACTTTTTCCTATACTGCTATTACGGGTGAGTTTGTTTTCTTATAATGTAATTATTCGTGGTGACAAGTATGCTAATTTTCTTGTTCTATTTGATGATCTGCTAGGGGGATGATTTGCATAGGACAAAAACGTTTTGCCAAAGCATTGGAACTCTTCCACAATGTATGTCATTCCAATAGTTATTTACCTTTTCAGTTAACTTTTTCTTTTACATTTTGTTCTAATATACATCCAGGTGGTAACTGCTCCTATGTCTTCCATGAACGCGATAGCTGTTGAAGCATACAAGAAATACATATTGGTTTCACTCATTCACCTTCGCCAGGTTTGTGTTTCTCATACTTGTCAAATGAACTCCAAAATTATATTTAGTTTTAAATATTAATATTTAAGGGCATTGAATGCAGTTTTCTGCCACATTCCCCAAGTATACTTCTTCAGTTGCTCAAAGGAATTTAAAGAACTTCTCTCAGGTAATTTCTAGTCTCTCTATATGAAAACATTTTTTTTTTCTTAACATTGTTGTTTTTTATTTCCAAGTAGCCCTACATTGAGTTGGCAAATAGTTACAGCACTGGAAATATTTCAGAACTTGAAGCATTTGTAGTAGCGAATCAGGAGAAGTTTGAGAATGTGAGTTTCATAATTCATAGTCTCCTTTTGCATGTGAAGTTGAAAACGTAGAACAGATATAACAATTTACTTTCTTTTGCAGGGAAACAATCTTGGATTGGTAAAGCAGGTTGTGTCATCTATGTATAAAAGGAATATTCAGAGGTTGACTCAGACATATTTGACTTTATCCCTTCAAGACATAGCCAACACTGCACAGATAAGTACTGCTAAGGAGGCTGAAATGCATGTACTTGAAATGGTAAGTAGAATATAAGCATCTGCTTTTTCTTTTTGATTGTTTTTTTTAAAAAAAACTTGTGTGTTGATTTTGTATGTTAATAAAAGATCGAGGATGGTGAGATCTATGCAACTATCAACCAGAAGGATGGCATGGTTAGATTTCTTGAAGATCCTGAGGAATACAAAACATGTGAGATGATTGAGCATATTGATTCATCGATCTCAAGGTATGGTTTTGAAACTGAGAAGATTTATCATTCTTGTACTGTAGAAGAAGTTAAGAAATCTGTTATAGTAATAATATGTGGATGTTTGTTATTGAACTCCAGAATCATGAAACTGTCAAAGAAGCTGACAACAATGGATGAGTCTATGGCATGTGATCCCCTTTATCTGTCCAAGGTATGGCTAGCTAGCACTAGAAAGAAACCTGTGGTGTCATTTGATGAATTTATTGAGGTTTTTTTTTTTTTTTTTTTAAATGATAATTTTAATTGGAAGTTGAATTTTGTTGATTTTAATTTGTTCAGGTTGGGAGAGAACGACAACGATTTGACTTTGATGATTTTGATGGTGTTCCTCAGAAGTTCAACTTATGAGAGTTTAGTTGCCATGATTTTGGGTTATATTACTTTCTATTTTTCACTGAGAGACAAACATATGCAATCAATACTTGTGGAATCTTATTACTATTAGCCTTTTAATCAAGTCACTTTTTTTGTGGGAATTTTGTAAATGAACAGCTATTGTTTTGGAGGTTGTTACATTTGTTATGTTTGTAGTCAAAATCCTATGTTCTTATGATTGCTGCATCCCCAAAAGAAAATTTCATGATTTCTCTTAACCACACTGTAAAATTTTGTTGCATACTAATTACTGCTTAAAGTAGAAGCAAGACATTGAAGCACAATGGATGAATACTAATTACTGCTTTGTTGCATATTAATTAACGTTTTGAATGTGGATGTATATGTATGTTGATTTGAACATCACAATATATCATGGTATACAAATATGACAATCAGAACTATATACATTACAAACAAAACATGACTAAACTAAACCCAAGTAATATCAACATACTAATCTTGTTTTTTTGTTGTATGGGGTTGTCATTAACAGGTGCTTTACTGCAATCATTTGACACTGAAGAATCAATCCATTCGAAGTAGTTATAATCTTTGGCACCAATCATAAAGTAAATCTTTACAAATCAAATGTACAAAGTTGCAGGGAATTAGTTGAAAATTAGAGTACCCAATGAATCTCCTACCAGGTTGTTAATTTTCCAAGAAGTCCAACATTTAGCTTCAACTCCACATCGACAGACGAAATTTCACTTAATCGAATCATCTCCAATTTTGCTGCTACAAGCAGAAGTCATGTCCATTTAAGGTTAAGGCATACAATCATTAGATGGATGAGTGTACATCTCCTCAGTTTCATAAAGTAAATTGCTTCCGTGTCAAATAGGTTGTCACTTAAAAATGTCTACGTAACCAAAAAAAACAGTGAAACCTATGTTCATATTTATTTTATAGGCCAAAATGGTTAAATTTGTAAAAGTGCATAAATGGAAGGGTTTTATTGAAAAAATTCAATGGTTAAACTGAAATAAAGCGAAGTGTAGTGGTCTTCTTGTGCTTTGCTTTGGAATTTTTTTGAACGGCAAAAATTTTGTTCAACCCCCAAGCAAGGAGGTAGAGGCAAAAACAGAACAAACAAGACAAAATTAATACACTGTAAAAGGAAAGTTACACCAAACATGTTAATTCAAAGAATTATCTTTCCTTCTATTCTTAATCCATAAGAAGGAATTCGCCTTGATCTCTTCTACCACATGGGAGGGGGGCAAGGAAATGTTGTTGAAAACCTTGTTATTCGTAGCTTTCCATATGAACCAAAGAGAAGTCAAGAACACAGCATGGGCCATTTTACCTTGCACCAGAGATTGACAACTCCAATGTGTAGATTTGCTTTAGATAATTTCATTTTTTGGGATAAAATCATAAATTGCTTGTTTTAAAGCAAGTTTTTTTTTAAGTAATGATATATAGACAACAAGGAGTCCATACAGAAAAGAAATGAATCACTATGTGCCTGAAAAAGAGTACAAGAATACAACACAACCACGGAATTAGACAAACAAATAACAAGAAAACACTCTGACGTCACAGCCTCAATAACCACTTATAAAAACAAAACTATGCAAAACTCCCGCCAAAAAACTTGAAACTTGTCCTATTTAACTTTGGTGTTTCTATCTTTACACAGCGCATGCCATTCCTGCAACACCGCAGTTTGAAGCGCACGATGCTCCACCTCCTCCGGTGTCAACTCAAACAAAGTTGTGGGACCCTTGTGTTTCTTCTTTCCGTCCTCCCCACTTTCCTTCTTGTCCACCACGTCATCATCATCACTGTCCACGTCATCTTTTACTTCTTCTTCTTCTTCTTCTTCAATTTTTGGGGCTTTAGGAGGCGGCTGAGCCGCCTTTAAAATAGCTATCCGTTCCATGGATACACGTAGCCTCTCAGCAGCAGCCAGCTTGACTTCATCTTCCGGCATGTAGTCGACACCCCCATCAGTAAGATCATCACACCATGACTGTAGATCCGAACCAACTTCTTTTATAATGGCTGCATCTGATGCCCTAACCACAAACTTACATATCATAGCTGTTGTTTCATCACCCAAGTCTACGTTTCTACTCACTTCACTTGCACCAAATATCATCATCCCCACAAAACCCCCATGCCATGTCTTTGCAGCAAAACATAGCTACAAAAAATAAAAACATAATCGTTAACATAAGTAATAAGTAAAAAATAAGATAAAAAAATTAACTTGCCTGGAACCCAGCTACAGTTCGGATAATGTGAGAGCAAACTCTATGAAAAGGCTTGGAAGATAAAGATCTGAGCCCACTCAAGAAAGGGGAAGAACCGTATTGCTGAGCAGCTGTGGCCTTAAACCCGCTACCTTCGTATGTATAAGTACCTGTGAACTCCACCATGGCCGGTAAACTAGGCCAGAGGCGAAAATACTCCACGGGTGAGATTTTATGAGGCAATAAAAGCTCGGTTAATGGAATCTTGTAAGGCTGGCATCTCATGATTACAGGCTTTCCTAATTCCGGCTTTAAGTTTCTTCTTTGTCTGATGATTTGTTGATCTTCTTCAGTGTAGTCACCTTCATGCCCTGCAATGTCATGTCCATGAAACGGGTAGTACAACACTTGTACCCAAAGCGCACATCTTTCAAAATGAGACACCCCCAATGTGACGCTGCATAATACGGGTTCCTGAGAGTTTAGATCGCGTAACTGTCGAACTGCTTGGGGGGACCCGTCCATGAAATATGAAGCGCCGGATAACCCGACCCGGATGTCGACCCGATTAAGTTCCATTTCGGTTAGATTTAGAACTTTTAAATGAAGTGTGATTCTGCCATCGCTTGGGTCTGATAAGTGGTATGCTTCCACGTAACAGGGATCACTACTACCGGTTAATGTGTGTGCATTTGGAGGAACTTTTAGTGAAGTAGTAGCATCCGCTCCTTTTGTTAATAATAGAGTTAGTTCACTCGGATCGGGTCTCCATAGTTCTAGAATAGCTTTGTGAACTAATCCTTCCAGTTTTCGGTCTTGGGCTGCTGAGCCTTCGTAGAATTGAACTGTTAGTTTGTGGTGACTGAATGGGTAGTCTCCTCTTGCTTCACTAACACCAGCCCACCTGTAACAAACAAAATAGGGTTTATTTCTTATGTTCTCATTTACTCATTTTAGTCAGTTACTTAGGGTCAAACTGTACCATTATGACATGCTATGCTATAACAGGCCATTTTAGTCATTCTCAATGTCCAGGAAGGTAACCAACTATATCATATGTTCTCATTAAGTCCCTTTACTCCTTTTATTATTCATTTTTAATATTAATTATATATTCCTTAAACAAAAAACTGTCAGTGAAGATGAGTTATGAACAGATCAAGGCCAACAGAAAGTTGTGTTCATCCAAAATGATCTTTCATCTTTCAAAATCAAAATCCACATCCAAATGGAATATATAATAATATAATATTATCATTTATTATTTAAGCTACTAAAAAAAAAAGGTTTCGATGAAGATGAAAATATCTATCCATTTTGCATATTTTTGTCTTCTACATTTGTTAAATCAAATACAAACAAGTAATGGTTGTGATTTTGGATGAACCCAAATGTTTAATCATTTCCATTTAGATGGGTATTTCAATTTTGAAAATTGAAGATTAAATAATATATAATAGATATTTAGATATAACAGTTTTTTTTTTTTTTAACTCTGGCCTTAATCTGTTGATGTTCAATGAAAGTTAATTGATTTGATTTTTATAATATGTAATAAAAATATATAATAGAATGACTAAAGAGAGTAAATGAGAACATACAAAATAGTTTGTTGCTAAAGTGAGACATAAACCCTGATAAATATGGATTATTTTTTAAACTTAAAATTAGATGATGCTTACTTGTCATCAGAATGACTGGAAACATATTTGATTCTCTGTAATATCATACGGGCCTGATGTTTGTTGACAGAATCAGTCAAAGGATCAGCCCTGAAGTCTTCTAGCTCTTTTGTGAGCAACTGGCCGGCCCTAGCATTACGTGAGCCCAATCTTTGAGCACATAAAAGAACTGCTTGAACATCCTGGAGCTTATTCGTTTCAGTCGCAGATGAGTCAGCATTGAACAAGATCTTGTGGATTTTTGATATGATGATGTTTAATGCATCCTCTGGGTCATCAGCTAAAAGAGGATCCAAGCCTTCTAAATCAATGTGTTCTGAAATTGCCCAAATAAGCCGGGCAGCAATTCTAGGGGTATTCACCTGCCCAGATAGACATCCACATAAGAAAGGAAAAAAAAAAAAATCCATAATTTCTAAACATTCAGTCACGAACCTCAAGCAGATCATTGACGAGTTGTCGTTGCAAATTTTGTAAACGGGTTTCGTTCAAAATCTGATCTTGAGATGCCCCATCTTTGACTCGTTTGACCCCACCCCTGGTATCAAATATATGGCAAAGTCTGACCAGTAGCTTTAAGTAACAATCAACAGCATAAGTTCGACCCTCACAGTCCCATTTCACACAAGGACGACAGACCTCCACTACTTCTAAAGCTGGTTCGGTCCAATTTAATGCACCATAACCGGTTCCATAAGCCAATGCTCCAATCACTCTACTTTCCATGCCTGAATTTTTTTGTTCGGGTAATGGGAGTGACAGCTGGAAGCAGCTTTCTACTAAAGTGGCCACCAGTTCTTCTCTGAATAAATTTTTGCTTGTCACAGTGTTGAGGTCATCTTTGATTCTGGTGTCTTCAAAAAGTGATGCGATGTCGGTTCCTGAGAGAGGTTTTTGGCCTCTTCGAACACTTTCTTTTGCAAAAAGATCAACACAGAGAGCTGTACGACAGATGCATGCTAAAGCATGCATTCGGTCTGATTCTGCCCTCAAGTTTCGCACCATCAGAAGCAGCCTTTTGAATAATGACACCTGTAATAAAAGTATATTCTATCAATATTCATGTATCCACACGCCAAAAGCTATTTTATACAAGTGTTACCCACTCATGAGAATATCTACACGATTGATATTATGGAAAATAATTATAATAATTTTGTTACTGTTAAAGATAATAAACAGCCACCTCTGACCAAAAGAAAAGAGAAAAGGAATAACCTTGATTTTTCACCAAAGATTAAGGAAAAACCACAATGAACAATGAGATAAAATGGGGTAAGGGGAGGTATATGCATACAAGCGTACCCCACCCAGTGATAGAGAGACTGCTTCCAGAGATGATCTCTGTCAGGCCCACAATAATGCAAATAAAGGGGTGGCATGGGGGTAAGGATATACAGCAATAAGCTTAAAGTAATAAAGTGTAAAGCACGTATACTAGCAATTCAGGCATAGATGCAATAAAACACAGGCATTCAGGCAATAAAACAATGAAGCTTAAAGGAAAGGGGACAAAAGGGCAAAAGTAAGCAGGTAAATGCTGTATGAAAGGCGCAAACATATAAGGAAAACTAGGACATATTCTACTCCACCTCCACGCCCTCATATCTCATATCTCACATCTGAGGGGGAAAACATGAAGAAGCTACAAATAAAGAGAGTGCATGAGTAAGAAGGTAAATACTATACAGAAAGCACAAAAACAAAAAGGGATAATAGAGCCTAGAGCCCTAGACTACTCCGCTGCCCTGATTTTAAGTCTCCACAGTCCACACCCTAATGACACTTATATCTGTAGCCATGTCCTCAGTAAATGCCGTCTCCTTCATGTCTAACCTCACGCTATCGGTAACTCCAGTCCACTATTTCTTACTTGTTGTCCTGTTCATATACTTTTATTTGTGTTAAGACCTACTTAAATTTCTGTCATAACATGATTTATCAATTTTGAAGGGTGATACCACAACTTTCAATTCCTGGTTCAAGAATGTGGGACATGGCAAAGAGAATAAGAGCTTGATAAGTTTTATCTTGTATCTCCATGGTAAACAGAACTGGAACTTAGTACGTTATATTTTGGATCTCAATATCATAAAGAGCCTAGTTGATTTCAGTATAGCATGTCAGTAAACATAACTGAAACTTAATGAGTTCTATATTGGATACCAGTATCATAGAGCTCATTATCAACTGCTGTCAACCTACTGGATTAGAGGCTAGTTGATTTCAGTATAGCAGCACTATGACAAAGCATGTCAGTAAATCAGTTATTATCATGCCTCCTGTGTCTAGATTTCATATCAGCAGTTGGGCAACTATTTTTATGCAATTCTGAAATAGATTGTTATTTAGCATTTTAAGGCTAGTAGATATGGCTCTCAGGTCATGAAAACATGACCTATGGTGTTGTCTGTATACTGCTGCACATGATGAGTAGTTTCTACTTTCTATTCATGGAAACTAATAAATGTCATACACGTAATACAAAGTTGTAGGAAGTGGTTGCACAAACCTGCATACTAAGATCGAGGAGATGTAGGTTCGTAACAACAGCTCTAACTATACTCTCTCTAGCAGAAGAAAATTCTTGTCTGTCCCAAAGTGTGAGAATTGCAATAATCGAAGCTGAAGCCCACTCAGGCTTGCCACCAGGAACATCAGCCAGATACAACATGTTAATCCCCACCTCGAAAATCAATGATGGGTCTAAAGAAGATGACAGAAAGGGAGCCAAATGGGTGACTACATCTGACACTCCCACAAACCTCTCTGCTTTGCTTGAATCCAAATTGCTGATATTTGTTTTCTTCGAAGACCTTGAGAGCTTCTGAAAAGCCTCGATTGAGCCGGATGCAACAGATTTTACGGCATAAACAAGCGGATACACACTGGACCTAAAACTCTCCACTGGAAGAATTAATGACCTTGCCATTAAAGCGTTTCGCCTCTTCCAAACAAATTCCACCATCGATGACACCCAATTTGACCTGATCGCAACAGAATTTTCACTATCCACAAGCTTGTCTCCAGCCAATCGACTCATTCTCTTCGATTCGAACTCCTGAAACAACCTTCCAACCGATTCAAATGCCACCTTCGAAACATTATCAGCTTTGTCCAGCATGTTTTGCCCGATCCGAGTCCACCAATTAGACACCTTATCTAACAAATTGATGTTGTTCTCACACAAAGTCACCAGATCGTCACGAGCGAGGATACAACCTAGGGTTTCAGTAATTGAAAACCGCAAATTATCACTAGTCGAATCAAAACAGCTGGATATTTCTTTATTGCTATCAGTAATAAGCTTTCCAAGCCGGTAGGACGGGATGGCGGCAAGGATAGAAACGGCGGCGGCAGTGACGTCGGGGTCCGGGAATTCCAGATCGTTGTGAATGCCAGTGCATACGATCTCCCATAGATCGGTTGTGAGGCGAGTGGATCGAATAAGGTCAAAGGCTAACTTCTTTGAGACGGCGGAGGCAGGAGAAGCCACGATCTCTTCGACGGCGGACTTGGCAATGACCGAGATGTCACGTCCGGCTGCAGATTGTTGGAGTGCCTGGAGTAGGGCTCCTGATTGGCGGAGGGCATCGTTGGAGCGGAGATCCGCTTGGATCTGAGCAAAGAGTATATCCATTTCCCTGAAATGTTAGTTACGGCTGTTAGAGCATGAAGGAGTGGAATACTCCCTCGACGGAGAGAAGTGGAAAATATGATTCCGACGGAGGCTGTTGGTGGTTTTATTACAACGGTCTCCCTGCTGAAAACAATTGCTCAAACGCCGTCGTCAGATTCGTACAGTTAAAAGGTTATGGCTTTTCTCTTTTTTATTCAAGTGGATCATAGATTTCTTTAAAAATCGAACAAAAAAAAAAGAACTTGATTATCAAATATATATAAAATGTACTAAATTAAGGTAAAATTAAATAAATCTATAACATTAATCAGTTCTATAGATACATTTTGTAAGGCAGAGGAGGGTGTGGTACCGAGTTTACCACGATCCATCTCAACTTTCTTCCTCTCCACCTTGTTTTAATATCATCTTTGTCATATACATATACCAGGAGTGGTATACTAAGAAAAGAAGGAATAAGAGAATATGGAGAATAGGAAGAGAGATGAGGAAGCGCGGCTAATTCTCGCCGAGCTCGGCTCGAACCATGCACCTAACACGGTGTGTGATGTAGATGAGACGACGAACCGCGATTCCTACCATAGCCACACCACCAGCCTAAACTTTATAACGTATGACAACACCATGCAAGGATGTACCATAAAGAGGTATACTTTTGACTACAATTCGATGTGGATTAGTGTGTATAAAGAAACCGAGACATTTTACTATTTGCATATGTAATCCCGAAACGAGTAATGACTAGACATTGAAGAGCCCTATCAATATTGTGGTATAAGAAAACATTAGTCATAGGAACACCACATAATTGATCAATAACAGACATCGTAAGATATAAGTTTATTATCTTTTTCGGTAGGACGTATAAAATTAGGCATTAAGTTGTTGGATTAACTGTAACGCTCGCGAATTCAGACAATACATTTTAAGGATTATAAAATATAAAGATTTGTTTTAACAAATAATTAAATCATCGAATATGATAATCATAAATTGTAACACCCGTTTTCTAAAGTGGATTATCTAAAAACTTAATGGGATCAAAGATGGGGTTTTTGGGGAAAAAAAACTTATGCCACAATGTGGGACATGGGTTGTCACCATGTGGCAATATATGTATAAGCGTATTTCAATCTTGTGTGTCACGACGTGACAGCCCACTGGGTGTTTAACCCTGATTCCGGGATTTATGCCCCTATTTAAGGGAGGCGAGGGCTAGGGTTTGCACACCCTTAGCCTCCATCACCTCCCTTTCACCCTCCAAGAAACCCTAGCCTTCATATTGAACTTGTGAGCTCTTTGTAGTGATTTTAGCCCTTGAAGAAAGAAAGAGATGGTGTGCTTGCTAGTTGGAAGAGTGTATCACTCCAGATCTTGCATCTCCTGCATCAGGTGGAGCTTGAGAAGGTATAAAACTTTCAGTTTTTTGGTTCCCTCTCCATAGATCTACGATTTATTACATTTCTTGGCTAATTTTCGATTTTGGGTTGGTTAGATGAGATAAAATTTGAAATTTTATAGCTCATCTTGGTCCTTTGGTCTCTATATCTTTTGGATCTAAAGTTTGTTTGTGTATTAAGCTCCATGCATGAGATTTTGGTCTTGTTTCTCCATTTTGACCTAGTTTGAGATCTAGACTTGCATTGGGCATGCTTGTATGTAAAGCTACGATCTTTATGTTGGAATAGAGGTAAGAAAGCCTTCCAGAAAGTATGAATGGGTGCTTGAAGGATTAAGAGCTTAACTCATTAAGTTGTGAGAGTTCAACTTTCACAACGTGGCAGCCTGCTTGCCACAACGTGATGGTTGGTGCCATCACGACTGTTTTGTCGTGAATATGCCACGACATGGCCAATGAGTGGTCACGATGTGGGTGTGGACCGGGGGTTGACTTTGGCTGTTGACCGTTGACTTTTTGACCAGTTTGACTTTTGGTCAAACTTTAAGGGTGTTATGCTGTAGTCTAAAGTTTAGCATGTGTTTGATTTAGGAGGATCGTGTAGCTAACACTGTGGAACTTTAAGCAGTGGAATTCATCTCTTCGTTCAGGTGAATCTTCTCACTGTATTACTTATGTTATGAGTGAGCATGAGTCGGGTTGGGTCGGTTTTGGGGTAAAATCGAACCCAAAACCGACTTAACGGTTTTCAGAAAATTAGAACCCAACCTAAAATTGATGGTTTCGGTTTCTTGGTTTTTTCTAGGTTCGGTTTTGGGTTGATCGGTTTTAAACCCGATTCAAACCATAGAATGTTAAGGAAGGAAGTATTGATTATATAAGCTCCAAGAGGCATTGATTTTCCTTCCCACTGACGATGTGGGATGGATCTGAGCACATGAGAAAAATGTGGAATAAGTTTTTATTTGAAGTAAAAGTTGAGTTGGTAAAATAAAACAAGGTATAAAGAACGTGAATCAAACCTGCGACCTTTTACATAAACAAGAAGGGCCTTAACCAATATAATAGAACCGTGTTTATGTTCAATTTTCACGGGGAACAAATATATATACACATCTGAATTTGTTCGGAAAAATAAAAACAAGACAAATGATTATACAGTGTTTCGAACTCGGGGGCTTAGGTTCAAAGAAACAACGTGCTAACAACTTGTACCACTTGATGTTTTTTATTTATTTTTCAAAACATCATTATATTATGTAAATAATATATATATTTTTTTAAAAATTATAAATAATCGGTTCGGTCCGGTTTCTCTCGGTTTTACCAAACCCATAAACCGAACCCAACTCGAAAATTTCGGTTTTTGAAAAAATCTAAACCCAAACCGTCGGTTTATGCTTCGGTTTCGATTTTGGTTTTGTCGGTTTTTTTTTCGGTTTTTCGGTTTTTCGGTTTTCAGGTTCGGTTTTGCTCACCCCTAACTTATGCCATAATGTATGCATGATGACCAGTTGGGTCTTATTTGCTAATTGTTGTTATGTGTTACTGAGTTGTTGATAACTCAGGGGCGTGTTGTTAGCCCATTGGGTCTGCTTATAGTCCTCAGGGTTGTTGATAACCGATATGGTGTGATGTTAGCCCATATGGCGTGTTGTTATGATTGTTGATCGTCTCCAGGGTTGCTAATAACCCGTAGGGCGTGTTATTAGCCCGCATGACGTTTTGTTAGCCCATTGGGACCGACGATAGTCCCCAGGGTTGCTGATAACCCATAGCTATTTGTAACACCCTATTCCTGGTACGTGTTTTAAATTTAAAAATTGTATGTTTTACACTGGGACTCGGCAAGTTGGAGGCCCAACTCGTCGAGTAGGCTAGACTTTGGACGTGGGTTTTAAGTAACCTACTCGGTGAGTCGGGAGCCCAACTCGGCGAGTAGGACTGTCTTGATGAAACCCTAATATTTAGGGTTTGCGCCCTATTTAAACACCTTATCTTGTCCCAACCCAGCCTCCATCGTCCCTCCCAGTCCAGAAAAGCCCTAACTCAAAACCCTAATCATTTATTGAGTGTTCTTGAGCTTTTGGTGCCATTTTTGTGTATTTGAAGTTTAAGAAGGAGAAGGAAGCTTGAGAGATCAAGAGGAAGCAAGAAGATCCATAGGTTTTGGCACATTCAAAGCTCATTTGAGGTATAAAGTTGAAACCTTGACCATCTACCTCTTAGATCTTTAGTTAAGGTTCATTTCTACCTTTTCTAAGCCTTAAAAGTACCATATTCGGGATTTTGGGATTATAAAGGGGTATGACTTTAGATCTGGAACCATTGAGGGTTCCTATGGCATAAAGGTGCCAACTTCATTGCCATAAGAGCCCCATGCACCTTGTAGACCCCATTTTAGGGCCATTTGTGCCAAATACCCCATGCATGAACGTCAAGTTTGTAACTTTACGTGTATTATGGGCCCTAGGAGGCTAGATCTATATTTTGAATATGTTAAACCCGACTGAAATCAACTATATGGACATGGACTTTGGGGGACTCGGCGAGTCGTTCATGGGACTCGATGATTCGGGGCATGGTTCCCCAACCCTTTTTCTGCTTTGATCGAACTGGTTGAGTCTAGAAGAGGACTCAACAAGTTAGATGTGAAACTGGACCTGGGAATCATGGAACTCGACGAATTCAAGAACAAAACTCGGCGAGTTCAAGGCAAGTCCCAACTGCATGAAGACGAACTCGACGAGTTTATAAGGGACTCGGCGAGTCTATGGCTAAATGTGCCTTCTTGCATTAAGGAGGACTCGACGAGTTCAAGGATGAACTCGGCGAGTCAGTTGAAGAATGTCCCGACTTGGTATGAAGGAAAACTCGACGAGTGAGTGCAAGGCTCGACGAGTAGGGTCGGGGTTTTAGTGTTTTAAGGATTTGGGGACTCGGCGAGTTGTTGGGTCAACTCGGCAAGTCGAGTCAACCAGACGTTGAGTTTGACCCAGAGTTGACTTTAACCAAGGGTTGACCTTGACTTTGGCTTTGACCTGAGTAACCCTTGTAAGGGTTAAGAGTATGTAATGGTAAATTAAGTAAGAGTGTTATGTGTAGGAGCTGAGAGGAGTTGAGCCTGACATCGAGGACAATTCATATTGCACGACATTGAAGTGAGTTACCTTCCAGTAGAGGTGGGTCTAAGGCACCAATGTCGGCCCACCAGTAGGTGATTATGTATGAGATGATTGTATTTGTGATAATTGCCTGGTTTGCCATTATCTGATATGCTCTATGTGCTAGGATGCTCTGTTATATGTATTCGTAGTAGTAGGGGTGAAATAGTCCCCGGATATCGGTTGAAAGATACCGAAGGGGTAGTCAGTACCCATGCATTCCTAGCAGTATGTTTATGTTGTGTTATTATGTGGTAGTGGTAGGGGTGAAATAGTCCCCAGTAGTCGGTTGAGTTAAACCGATGGGTAAGTCAAGCACCCCAGAATGGCTTGACCAGGGTAAGTCAAGCACCCCATAACAACTTGACATGGGTGAGTCAAGCACACCAGAATGGCTTGACCATGGTAAGTCAAGCACCCCATAATAGCTTGACCAGGGTAAGTCAAGCACCCGAGAACAACTTAACATGGGTAGGTCAGGCACCCCAGAATTGCCTGGCAGTATGTATGATTATATGGTATGTGGTATGATGGGGGAACTCACTAAGCTTCGTGCTTACAGTTTTCAGTTTTGGTTTCAGGTACCTCTTCAGCGAAGTGGAAGGAGCCGGCACGGTAGC